GCTGTTTTCATGTGGGTGGGATTTATTTTTTTTTATCCATTTATGTGTGTACAGGGTCTCGGACTTCCTCAACTCTGTCACCTATTGCATTGAAGTAGCAGTTGTTCAGGTTTGCTATAAGCATTGAAAAATATCTCAAACGTGAGTTATTGATATTAAAAAATGTTCGATTTTAGCGATTTATCAGCCAGGCCTAGTGTGAACAAAACAGCGCAAGGGAGCGTTCACATCAAGACAACAAACAGAGCGTTTCACTAAATAGCAAGAGTCGCACTCGTTCCATTTCGTAGTGTTTTGCTCGCTTGTGTTTGTTCACCCACAAAGCTGTGCTCCTCAATTAGGGCCAGTGTCATTTCTGACACGCCGTCTGGAGCCTGACGCGTCTTCGTCAAGGGGTTTGGGCTCCAAACCTCCACGCACTGCACGTCTTTTAATTGGGAGAATCAGGTCTCTACGGCTTTTTGAAAGCCAAAAGAAACATAACGCGATTCATTCCCAACATGTGACAAAGGATGTCACTCTGTACACGGCTGAGCGCGAGGTGCGTTGATGAAAAGCTCGGCTAATTGAGAGAAATTGTCTTGATTCTCGCTCTGCACCGGTGCATTTGGCTGTCGGCGTGTCTGCGCGCTTTGTGAAGGCTGCAGTGTGCCGAAACCTGCCTTCACTGCTTTGGGGAACGCTAACTTGACGCTTCAACAGACAGTTAGAGAAGCAGAATATACACAAAGCTCATCATTGCCTCATCATGCCTTCAAAACAAGAAGATCTTCCAAAGTCCCATATCGCAATGTATGCAGATATCTTACATTTTGCTGTTCTAAGTCTAGCAGTCCAGCAGGCGACACCGTGGTCTTATGGGGCCAGGCGTGATCTGCTAAGAAGAACGTACATCTGGGGACAATGTGTTAAACTATTGGCAAAACCAGCTGCAATCAAGGGCATGCCCCCTCTAAAAGCCATCCAGAGTGCTATTAGTAATGTAGGAGTCCAGATTTCCTCCTCCACTCCACTGGACTCCACTCTGGCAGCACCAGAGCCGTGGATTCAAGGATGTAGCGAAGATTAAAGTATCCTAAATGTAGTTTATTCACTTTTAGAGCTGTCAAACAAAAGGTTACTGGACTTACTTCACTTTGTTAACATGCATATAAAAAGTGATAGATTACTAATGTTTAAAAGGAAACAAATGCAACCAATTTCATAATGAAGCTCACAAAGTAGCCATGCAGGAGGAACACGCTTCAATAGCGGGGAGCGACTAGGGTGGTCTACCAGACGAAATTCCAGAGCAGTGTGCTGAAAAAAATCAAATAAATCAAAAAGTCAAAAATTAACTTTCTGAAAATGAACCAGAACAGTAGTGGTAGTTACTAGGTAACCAAGGTGTGTGTGTATGTGTATATATATATATATATATATATATATATATATATATATATATATATATATATATATATATATGTATGTGTGTGTGTGTGTGTGTGTGTGTGTGTGTGTAGAGTGCAGTGACACTGACGTGGTGGTGTGTTTAGTGTGTGTTGCGCTGGTACAAGTGTAAAGTATCAGACACAGCAGTGCTGCTGGAGTGTTTAAACACTGTGTCCACTCACTGTCCACTCTATTAGACACTCCTTCTTTATTGGTCCACCGTGAAGTCAGAGATGATAGCTCATCTGCTGCTGTACAATTCGTGTTGGTCATCCTCTAGTCCTTCATCAGTGGTCACAAGACGCTGCCCACAGGACACATTTTTGGTTCTCAGTCTAGCAGAGACACTGAGGTGTTTAAAAACTCCAGCAGCACTGCTGTGTCTGATCCACTCGTACCAGCGCAGCACACACTAACACACCACCACCATGTCAGTGTCACTGCAGTGCTGAGAATAATCCAGCACCCAAATAATTCCTGCTCTGTGGGGGTCTTGTGGGGGTCCTGACCATTGAAGAACAGGGTAACAAAGTATGCAGAGAAACAGATGGACTACAGTCTGTAACTGTAGAACTGATAAAATAGACAGAGTATAGAAGTGAGTGTGTGTGTGTGTATACACACATATATATATATATGCACACCAAGTCAATACGTTCAGTCCAGTTCTTTTGAATCCCAGTTTATTGCAGCCCTAATGTGAAGAATATTTATGAACAGCTTCAATTTCCATAGTGTGAGCTGTGTGTGCAGATGCCGGTGAAGTGCAGACATCTTGTACACGCTTTGTGACCACAGTTTGTGTTTACAGTGGCTGGTGAGCAGTGTTGGCATGGAATAGGTAGAAGTACTGGATTAGGCTAGCAGGGTAATGTTACTGCTCTGACATGCTTGCCAAGCCTGAAAAGTCAACAAAAAAATGCTATGCAAAACCAGTCTGTCATCAGAATGGCCAAGCTTCATTGATAAGTAGCACGCTTAAGGAATATCGCTTTACCCCATTTAGCTGACCACACTATGGGTGAAATATCGCAGCATTTCACCTTTCAGAGTCGTTGGCCAACAGTTGACCCCAATTCCTGTCAAAAAATCAACTCTAAGCACAAGTGATAAACAAAACAGGCTAGCTAGCAAAACACTATTGTTATCTAATGGAATTGATTGTTTGTTTGTTTGTTTGTTTTTGCAAGAGATAATGCTTATTTTCTTCACACATGCGACTCACATCTACATACTTAGTTGGAGTTTGGGGGGACCTTTTTGGGGACACAGTGTTGACGAGTGTACAGTCAGCCACTACTTTGAGTGCTGCCTTTACGTTCCCTCCATTCTTCCCAAACATCTAATGGTTGTTCTTAGACGTTCTTCTTACGAGGCTGATGTGACTAACTTAATGGAAACTAATGTGTTGTCTTGACACTGTTATCTAGACAATGCTCCAAAGCTACATCGAATAACAAAAAAACAGTATCAGTAGCCATCCTGAGGTCTGTGCTTTTCCATGTTTATAAATAACAGTATATCATACAGTGTCAGAAACCACATAAGCAAGTCTAATAGACTGTTCATTGTGTGCTGTGAGCATCCTGACCAACCTCAGGCATTCCTGATGAGTTTCTGTGGGTGTTTTAGTGACTCTAGGGATTCATGTGATCCAGCAGTGGTAAAAAATAATGCAGGCCACATATTTCATTAAGGTGTTTTAATAAATTGCACATCATCGTTGCAATAGAACACCATATGGAATATGTTGTCTGTATCAAGCAGTTGAACTAGAAAATTAAGGACACCATCAGCGTGTCTATGGAATTCCTTTAAGATAAGACAGAGAGTAGCCAGTTGATGAGAGAGAGAGAGAGAGAGAGAGAGAGAGAGAGAGAGAGAGAGAGAGAGAGAGAGAGAGAGAGAGAGAGAGCGAGAGAGAGAGAACAAGAGAATGAGAAATAGAGAGATAAAGAAGGAGGAAGAGAGAGGGAAAGAGAGAGAGAAGCTAGAGAGAGCAAAAGAGAGAGTAGCTAGAAAGAGGGAAAAAGAGAGAAGCTAAAAAGAGGGAAAGAGAGAAGAAGACTAGAGAGAGAGAATGAATGATAGAGGGAGAGAGAAAGAGAAGAAGAGAAAGAGACAGAAGGAAAGAGAGGAGAGAGAGAGACCAATGAAGGTAGAGAAGGGGAGAGGAAGAGAAAGAGAAAAAGATAAAGAGAGGGAAAATGGAAAGAGAAATTAGGAGAAAGTAAGAGATGGGAGTGAGAGAGAGGAGTGAAGAGGGAGGGAAAGAAAGAAAAATAGAGGAAGAAACAGGGAGAGCAAGAGAAAGAGAAAGATATAGAGAGGCAAAGTGGGAGGTGACATGAGAAGGAGAGAGGAAGAGAAAGATAAATGAGAGAGAGAGAGAGAGAGAGACAGGGAAAGCAGGAGAGGAAGAGAGAAAGAATGTGAGGGAGGGAAAGTAGGGAGAGATAAAGAGAGAAAATTTTAGGGAAAGGGAAAGAGAGATGGAGAGAGAGGGGAAGTAAGAGACAGACAGAGAGTGAGTGAGAGAGACAGAAAGAGACAGATCCTCCATATCTCTGTCTGCTTTCTCTTTTTTCGCTCTCTCTCTCTCTGTTTCTCCCCCAGCAGGGTTTACCTCTCCGTTGCATCAGCCGCGTTGTGGTCCAGTCTGACTGACCAATCACACCTCTCGCTCCTCCCCGCTCGCTCAGCGCACTCTAATCAGCTGGAAAATGTGGAATGATAGACTCCTGTGTCAGAATGTCTGCTGAACAGCACGGCGGGTGTGTGTGTCGGGGTGGGGGGGTGGGGGGGGCAGTGGGGGTGTGCACACAAAGAACAGCAAGAATAGCTCCAACTAAGCTGAGTGTGTGTGTATAGATCATAGAAAGGACAGTAGCCTCCTGTCTTCTCTTATGTGTTGTGAGGCAAGTCACGTTATGCATTGTGTCTGTGGTTAAAGGATAATTCTACCAAAATTTCCTCAGAATTCAACCACTGAGATGTAAACAAAGCCATTGAGAGTGTTTTGATGTAAAATAGTGCATTGTAGAGGAACATATCAACCTGCACGTACCTCTCTGGATGGATTTTAAAAAACATGGCTTTTAGGTCAAAACCTTATCTTAAAAGTCTGAGACATCGGGCAACATATCTGAAACAATTTCACATCAAACCACTCTGAATGACTTTGTTTACATCACAACAATTGAACTGTACAGAAATTGGAATTTCTCTTTAAAAGAAAGCTCTAACACTTTTTGACCTCATCTCTGTCTGTAGCATACTATATTTTCTCTGTACTTAAAAAAGAGCCCAAAACTGTGAATAGTGTTCATGTAAAAGTCAGTATTTGAGTCTGACATTCAAGGAATTCTTCTTGGTGTTGGTGTCAACAGAAGTGCCATGTATGTAACAGACAGTTTCACTATATAAATAAATAGCGTAGGTGCACAGTAAATAATATGCATGGGTGCTTACTATACACTAGTGGGTATGAATGCAGTTTTTGAGGGTTAACCTTTTGAAAATGCTGCGGCTGATGCTTTATACTCTCTTCCCTGGGTTTATCCATTCAGGTGCTGATATGTATACAAGATGAGTGGAGTGGGGGAGAACTCCATGGAGCCGCTGTGTTCCGATCGCAAACGCAAACTGTCAACCTGCGACACGCCAGGCCTGGGGTAAGACTGGAACCGAAAACCTGCTAATTTACTAAGGATTTTAGATTAGTTAAATTATTTATTTGTTAATTTATATACACATTGTATTACCAAAAGTATGTGGACACAACATAATGATTGAGTTCAGGTGTTTTAGCCATGCTCATTGCTAACAGGTGTGTAAAATCAAGCATATAGCCATGCAGTCTCCATAGTGACTTTAAAAGTGGTACTGTGATAGGACGCCACCTTTGCCAAAAGTCAGTTTGTGACATTTCTGCCTTGCTAGATGTGCCCCAGACGACTGTAAGTGCTATTACCGTGAAATGGATGCATCTAGGAGTAAAAGAAGCTTAGCCCCAGAAAGGTAGACCACAGAAATTCTCAAAGTGGTGCTGTCAAGTGCTGTCAAGTGCGTAGCAGATAAAAAGTCACCTACAGCATACAAAGACATTTGGGCATTTGTTTGCTTCCAACTTTGTGGCAGCAGTTTAGGGAAGACCCTTTCCTGTTCAAGCATGAGACATAGTTGATGAGTTTGGTGTGGAGGAACTCCAGTGGCCTGCAGAGTCATGACCTCAGCCCTACCCTAATCAACACCTTTGGGATGTATTGTAACATCCATTGTGAGCCAGGCCTTTTCACCCAACATCAGTCCCTGACCTCAAAAAAAACTTTGACGGAATAGGCACAAATTCCCACAGACACACTCCAAAATCTTGTGAAAAGCTTCCTCAGAAGACTGGAGGCTGTTATAGCAGCAGAGGGGGGCCAACTCCATACTAATACCTATGGTTTTGGAATGGGATGTCCAATAAGCTCATATAGATGTGATGGTCAGGTGGCCACATGCTTTTGACCGTATGTTTAAATTATAATTTTAATATTTATATACAAAGTGCTGATTTGTCTCATCTTTGCCACTCACATTTGTTAGTGCATGCCATGTCTCAGTCGAAGGAGATTTCTAAGGACCATTGAGTGATTTGCCAGTGCAGATTAGGCCGGAAGAGTGTGAACTTCACTGATCCACTGTCAGGCAGATGGTGTACAAATAGAGGAAATTCAACACAATTGTTACCCTTCCCAAGACCGGTCATCTGACCAAGATGACAGGTGTAAAGCATAGAATATTCTGGGAGATGACAAAGAACCCCAGGGTTACATCTAATGTCCTCTTGCGCCCCCTGCAGGTGTGACAAGCGGCGGCGAGAGCAGGAAAGTAAGTACATTGAGGAGTTAGCTGAGCTCATCTCTGCTAACCTCAGCGACATCGACAGCTTCAACGTCAAGCCTGACAAGTGCGCCATCCTGAAGGAGACAGTGCGCCAGATTCGGCAGATTAAAGAGCAAGGTGAGTTACAATTAGCGTGCGAGCATGCTAGCTTTGTTGGTGTTTCTACTGAGAAGATTCAGGAAGCAATAGCTGCCACATGAAACTACTTCTCAGAATGCTTCATGTGGTGTTGGTGAGATGGGACATTCCCCTTTATGCAGACAACAGAAACTCGTGTCATTCACACCAGGAGGACACATAAGCCATTTCTTGTAACATTAGCAATTATTTCCCTCACCCTCCTCCCGCAAATTGGTGATTACCGTAAAAGTGTGCTTATTTTTGGGATTGCTAGGCTATTATGAATATTTCGAGCCTAAGGCTGGCTTTACACAGTGAAATTTACATGTAACTTACATTAATGTAAATTTCTCTTGAGTTGCGTAATGTAAAGTATTCTGCAGACTGGCTAATGTCAGTGTTCATGAGTCCGCAATAAGGCAGAGAGTGTACAAAAGTAGTACATATGAAATGATAGCATTGACGAACCCACTACTCTTTAGGAGTAACATTGCTGCCTTTTTAAAGTTTCCTAAAGACTACCTGGATGATCCAGACGACTACTGAAAAAATGTTATATGGATGAATAAGGCAAAAATATATTGTTAATCTTAAGTAAGAGATGTTATGTTTGGCAAAAAATAAATACTGCATTCCAGCAAAAGAATCTCATTGCAGCTTTGAAACATGGTGGTGGTAGTGTCACGGTTTAGAGCTGTTTTGCTGTTATTGGACCAGGACAGCTTCCCATCATTGGATGAAGATATGAATTCTGGATTGTATCAAGCAATTGTACAGGAAAATGTTAGGACATCCATCCGTAAACTGCTTTATGGAATGCTTCATGTGATGTTGGTTATAGCAGACATTCCTTCTTTATGCAGACAACTTAGACTACAAGTGTCATTCACACCAGGGGAGCATGCAAGCCATTTCTTGAAACGTTAGTAGTCATCTCCCCCACCCTCCTCCCCCCATGCTTTGTTAATTACAGTAAAAGTGTGCTGATTTTTGTGTTTGCTAGGCTGTTGTGAATATTTCGAGCCTAAGGCTGGCTTTACACAGTGAAATTTACATGCAACTTACATTAATCTAAGTTTCACTTGAGTTGCGTAATGTAAAGTATTCTGCAGACTGGCTAATGTCTGTGTCCATGAGTCCACAATAAGGCAGACAGTGTACAAAAATAGTATATATGAAATGATAGCATTGATGAACCCACTACTCTTTAGGAGTAACATTGCTGCCTGTTTATTTTCTGATCAGCTGATTTTATTAAAAAATAAAGTTTTGATTCAGATCTGTTCAGCTGGTTGCTGGGACAGGCTGCTGTTGTTGCCACAGGAGATGGGGGAGGGGTCAGATGGATGTCGTTAGGTGGCACACCCACTTATGTAGTCAGGAATGGTCTCACTTTTCGTCCCATTGATTGAATAGGGATTTCAGTTCAGCTTATATACAGTATTTAGTTTTACTCCAGGTTTGGTTCAGTGCTGGGCCACAGTTCAGTTTGTGTCACAGTTCAGCTTGGAGAAAAATGTAGAGGTTTTTTTTAAGAGAATGAAACATATCATTTTCAAAAGTTCAAAATTGGGTACCACTTTAGAATAAAGGGTTTATGAATGGTTTAAAATTAGTTTATTAGTTAATTAGTTAATTAGGTCATACACACCTTAAAAAGCATGAATAAACAGTTATAACACATTAATAAAAAGAGCAGAAGTGAGCTGTTATATCTGATGAATATGAATGAGATGGAGCTGACAGGTTTAATACTGACTAATAAAAAAGACACAGTCAGTTACCAGCAATATCTGAGCTTTCACAGCATAAAGAAATGTGTTTTTACTATTAGGCAAACAACAGGTCACTGTTTCCCCTCTTATGAATGTGTTGTAATGGCTTATTAATAATTTATAAGGTGTGTATAAACTAATGAATAATCATTAAGGAGCTCATTTTAAACCATTCATAAACGCTTTATAAGGGTAGTCTTATTCTACAGTGGTACCCAAAAATGTTGCCTGTTGTTGACTTGTGGAGTCAGTATAGAAGTAATTGAGAATAAACTAGACAGAGTTGTGCACTTTTGAGGAGAAGGTTAGTTATTTCAAGACGTCTTCATGCAAAGATGTTCACAGATCACTGGTTCGTTCCTTCTCCCACAGAAAAGCAGGAGCAAACACAATCACCCCCCCCAGGTATCAAGGTTATGTACCTGTGATAGAGATGCATAGAAAAGTACAGAATATTCTAAGATGACCTAAAGGATCAGGGACTTAGAGACAGATTGACTATTCTGATACACAGAATAAACAGCCTTTTTCAGCACAGAGGGAGGAGCCTACAGTTAGCAAGCAGTTTGTGTACATATTGAGTTCTCTGAGTTGTGGATACGAACTCTCAAACCACACATGTTAGGGAGCAATCTGTAAAGCCAGTTAGTGAGATGTAAATCATGAACTGAATACCAGAAAAAGAATCAGCAAATGTCACTTGAGCAGCAAGCATGTCAGGTTATATCATTCTTGGATGTGATCCATCCCTATAACCATAGATTATTAGTGGGAGAATAGTGGTTCTTTCTGGCAGCTGCTCTTTTAATACCACGCTGATGAATTAGTCTAGTTTCTTTTTTGCAATTGTTGCCCAAACAGCAAACAAACAGTGCCCAAAATGTCACCGCCTACATTTCAGCTGTGGGGAGTCTAGCAGTCGGTTAAAAAGGGACCTGTAACCACAGCCTACCAGTTGATAAAGAAAAAGAGTGGTTAGAGGAATGGTCTAGCAGTGTTTACTGCAATAGAGATGGTGCTGATCAGATATGACTTTCAGATAGATAGATAGATATATAGATAGATAGATAGATAGATAGATCATGAAGGGAAATTGCAATGTTACAGTAGCAACACATATAATTGCTTATAAAGCTACATATATTACTCAGAAATAAAAATAGAAATGAAAATAGACATAAATTAGGCAGAATTAGGCAGAAATTAGGCAGAATGTTAGACATTATAAGTTAGAGTAAATTATGAGAGAGTAGGTATAAAGGTATATCTCTTATCTGCATATTTACATAGCATATAAGACAGATTTGTTGTATTTTTATGAGAGCAGGTGTTGCACTAAGTGGTATGAGATAGTTACAACACAATGAGTATAAACATAACTAGGACTAACAGCAGTATTTACAGTCTAAAGAGCGCAGTGAGTGTCATTACAGTAGCAGGTTGTGATACATTGCACAGTGTATATTAACAAGAGAGGTGATTTAGTGATGTTCATCTTCAGTGAAATAGTGATGTTCATTCTACAGCTTCTTTTAAGCTTTTGTATTTAAAGGAAAAAAATTGTGTCAGAATTGGATGATATGAAGGTTTCACTGTTGGTATCAGAAAGGAAAAAGTGCTATCATGCTATCTGGAATCACAGATCAATATTATAAGATCAGGTTTTGTTTGTGTTTTTCAAAGGCCAGAGTGGAAACCTTGAGTAGTTTTAAAGTGGTTTTATTCATCTTAAGGCTCCTAGAGCCTGTTTCAGCGTGATGACTTAATTATAATGATTTTAGTCTTTTAAATTATCTCTCCTTGGGTCCATTATCATGTCTCCGAGTTTCTGTAGAGAGACCTAACCAGAACGCTGCCCAGGACTGTGTGAATGATTTTGTTGAGGCAAAAAAAAAAAGGGATATGATTTGACATCGCTGAGCGGGAGCTTCTATCAGCAAACTCTTCTCAGCAGCATTTTTTTAAATACTTCACAGTTTGGTGGGTGTTCAGATAGGCCTGCTGAAGTACAGATCATAAATACGTTAGATGTGATTTTGGCGTGAAGCCAGGTGTACTGAGTAAATGTGTTTAAAGTTGTAAACGGCCTCATTACGGCCTCATTCGACCGCACTGAAACTCAAACTCTGGTTGCAGTTTTGCACTTCATTATATCAGGCTGTTTGGGGATGCCACAACGCTGCGAGTAGAACGTGTTTTAAGTGGTTGAATCAGAAACCACTGCCTGTGTGCTGCTTCAGGGGAGGTGGGCTGGTCCAGCTAAAGAAAATGGACGAAAGAAATTATTGGCTGCCGTAAGGAAACAGCTTTGAAGTGCAAGAGGCTTATGAATGCTATATGAAGATCGTTGTATGAGGGACAAACAACCATGGCTTTGTAACAACATGCTAATGTTAATAATTTGTGGACCCTCAATGCTTTTTCATCTTGTAGTTTGTTTTTTAAACACATCTTTGTTTATGTTCATGAATACATACAGTACAAAGTCGAAAACATATTATGGCTACATTCACATTACAAGCCTCATTGCTCAAATCCGATTTTTGCTCAAATCAGATCAGATTTGCATGTCCACACAGCCCTGAAAACATCAGATCTGAGTCACATTAGGGCGAAAAATTGGATTTGTGCCACTTCAACCTGTAATGTGAACATAGCCTTTGTGTGTAAATTCAAAGTGGATAAATTCACTGGAAGGATATTAAGTAACAAAATAAAAATGTCTAAACATTCACCCCCTACTGTATTTTACAGTGCAATATGAAAACTTGTAATATCTGCAGGTCCTGTGTTTTGACTGTATTGGAGCCATGTTTTGTCTAAAACTGACAGATAAGATGTGGATAAGCAGGTAATATGCTTTGAGTGTATTTTCTGCCGCTTGTTGTGAGTGGCACGCCATCAGATGTACAAAATATACTGTCTATGCATTTCAGAGCATATACTACTGTCAAAGATCAAGTGATTTTCACTGCAACTGGTCAGTTTAATGGAATCATGAGCTAAATAAAGCCTGGTATATATAATGGTTGTGTAAAAGCATAAAATGGTACATAATGGTTGTGTAAAAATGTATGGCAAAAAGCAAAACGTGTTAATCTAGAATGTCACATTATGCACGGAGTAAAAATGATGCAAAGGTAGTATTAATTGGCAGTCTAACATATCTAAATAATGTACCTGTGTTTTGTATGAAAACCCAAGGATTGGATCACTATTAGA